GCTTGTACCAGTACGCATGTATTGGGAATATCGGCAACCGTGCGGTGTGATAGTGTAACATGAGTCAATTCACGTGAATCGGCGGCTATTGCCACAAACAGATTTCGGCTCACACGCACACAATCAGAGAACCTCGTATATGTACTGCGCAGCAACTGTGTGCAATACAAGGTTCTCTGATTGTGTGCGTGTGAGCCGCAACCGTTTGTGGCAACATAGCCGGCGGCGAGTCAGTCTGCGTCGAACAGTCGAAGCAAGTCGAAGTGCTTACACCTCATATTGTCAGTACATTCTACATCCAACAGAACATAATGGTGAGTACGCAACTAAAATTTATGTGCCGTTTGCTTCTTATAGTTGCATTTTGATATTTATTTCCGTTATATAAAAAGCCATAGTTTACGTCACGTATACTATAAATTTTCAGTGAAACTGGCATTGAATATCGGAACGCAGTCTAGATTAGTCCACATCTCTTTATGTTTCGAGTGAATGAGCGAGTTTCGATAAGATTTATTGTTTATTCTATTTTTTTTAATGGTGAATATAATATGTCGAACATAAAAATTTTTAATGATACATCTCATTCGCTTTCTATTTATCTTTCTGTCGTTTTTGATTAGCATTATTCGTTGAATATTGTATATTTATTTATATGGTATGCAGTATTTACATGATTTTTTCGCAATTTTTTTTCAGTATAGTGTAGTACTCTATTAGAAGAATACTTGAGCAAAGGAAGGGCGCAATGCTCAGCCATTTCCAAGAAAATTTGATTTAAATAATATGGCTTTTCTTATATTCAGCTCTGTTATATCGATTAGCGAGAAGGCAGCGTAGCTCGGGCATTAAAGTGGGTGGCTATCACGCATCAGACCCGGGTTCAATTCTTGTCCCTGGCACTTTTTTTCTCTTTTTTTTTTATACAATCTAGCAACGAATATTTATTCATGTGAAATAAAGTTAATTTAACCAACTTTTTTTTTTTTAATTTGCACTTTTAAAAGGCAATTTTCTTTTAATTTACTCACAAAACTGGGCATAATTTTAATTCAACTTAAAATCTTATTATTTTATACATCTACCCAATATAAAACGAAGCAAATAAAACGCCATTATTTGAACATAGTTATAATTTAATACAAAATTACAACAAGTAATTACAAGTATCATCCGAATAATTGTAACCGATCTGTAGAGAGTGTTGATGATAGTGATAACAAGGATGAATAAAAGTTTTGACACATTTGTTTGTAATTTTGTATTAAATAATAACTATGTTCAAATAGTGGCGTTTTATTTGCTTCATTTTATATCGAATAGAATGCATAAAATAATAAGGTTGTAAGTTTAACAAAAGTTTCGTGAGTAAATTAAAAGAAAATTGCCTTCCGAAAGGGCAAATTAAAAAAAAAATGTTAGTTAAATTAATTTTATTTTACATGAATAAATATTTGTTGCTAGATTGTATAAAAAAAGAATGAGAAAAAGAGTGGCAGGGACAAGAATTGAACCCGGGTTGGATGCGTGATAGTCACGCGCTTAATGCCCGAGCTACACCGCCTTTTCGATAATTGATATAACGGAGCCAGATATAAGGAAAGCCATATTGTTTAAATCATTTTCTTGGAAATGGTGGAGCATTGCGGCCTATCCCTTTGCCCAAGTATTCTTCTAATAGAGTACTACACTATAAAAGCCTTTTTCAATTCGGTGACCCCAAGATCGTGCCCTCCCCTGTTAGTCTCAGGAACGTGCGCATCATAAATATAATAGCACAATACTCTAGTAGTAAAAGTTCTCATTAAAATTTTCTATTCAATATTTTATTTTGTATTAATAATAAAAATAATAATTATTATATTATTAATTACTTATATGTTCTATAACAATTTAAAATATTTATGTTTTATGGTTACTAGAGTATTGTGCTATCACATTTGTGATACGCACGTTCCTGAGACTAAGCGATGCGCTCCTTAGTTACGATTTACGATGCGTTGCTAAGGAGCGAGGGGTAAGAGGGGAGCAGTGAGCAGTAGGCGTGAGCTAAAAAATCCAGCCGAAAGTTACAAATAAATCCCAGTTCACTTATATGGTAAGTCGTTGGACAGGGTTCTTATTCCTACCGCAACATCTTTATTCTCATGTCGCTACCGTCAACTCAGAGTTTCACGGCGACTACTCAGGAGCCTTAATAGTATCTCGTCGGTGATATATGTCAAAGCCAAGATCATTTACATATAAAATAATAATCGCGAAATGATTTGTTTATTCATTATAAACTATTTCTGAGTACAGTAAAAAGTGTGCATATACAACTCTGTATAAAGTAATATATAACATACACATTAAAAAATTTCATATGTGATAAATATTTTTTGAAGAATAAAGCTGTGATTTAAAATTAAATTATAAAAAATGTGGAGCTTGCACATATAACGCGCACACACACACACACACACATACAATAGAGTAAAATCAATTGCTAAACAATACAATATCAAGTACATCATAATTTCATAAATGTCTTTATTAATAGATATGTAACCTAAAAATATGATATAATAGAAAATGAAATAATTGCGCGCTAATTATGAATGCGAATCTGTTATCAGATAACTGTGTCGCGTGATCAAGCATCAATCATTACCCTTTATTTTGAAAAATATAGTCTTGTAACATTAATGATTATATATATAATAATGTAATTGTAAGACTGTGTGTATAGTATATGTGTGGGCTACCATTCTATTAAATGTATATTTTTCAGACGCGTTCCACTTAACGACCGCAACGCTCACGAACATCATCTGTTTTTGTTTAACTTTCGGTGAACAAGGATAAAATGATACCGTGAGTGTGCAGCTGTTAAGTGTAATGCGCCCATAGAGAAATGTTTACACATACACACACATACACACATCTTGACTTAGATTGATTTCTGAACAAAGCGTGATTATTGCTCAATGCACTGTAATGTTTATTAATTTTAGTTTTTGATGGAGTCGTCTTGTTTTATATTATATAAACTCTCCAAACTATATAAATACGTTTTCTTTTTGAATATCATATATTTACTGAGATTTTTATTTTTATACAAAAATTCAGTTAATGTTGATATTTAATTGATATTTATATTAAACCGATACTTTTAGGCTGTATTCCGTTTTATGCATGATGCATTACTTATCCTTGTTTAACATTTGATGAACAACAAGGATAAGTAATGCATCATGCATGAAACGGAACGCAGCCTTATAATGTCAATCAATTTGATTGTAAGCATTTTTGTTATTTTTAGAGTGCAATGAGATTATGTTTTATATATATAAATATTTTATTAATGTAAATTTTTCAAAACAGTATTTACTTTTGTTTAAAAAATAAATTTTAAATAAGATTTTGTTAACATGAAGTTGACTTGAAAAATTAACAATGTTTAATAATATACAAATTAACAATGTACTTCAATTTACAATGTGTTTTTGCTATTTATGTTTTTAAATCTTTGTATTCTTATTCACACAAACTTTTTTCACTTCTCCGTATATTATATGTTTCCACAATTTAATTTGTCTAGTTTTGTTATAAGTTTTGTAATAAAAAAACTCGATGTCTCAAGCTCTTATTAAAGGAAATGTCTTGAGAATACTATGTGGTGATTGTATAGTAATTAAAATTAAAATTATCTTATTTTATTCTTTTAATATATTTTTTATTTTCACAGAATGCTGTCGAAACAAATTATTCACAGTGCTAAGTTGCATGTTAGAGCGCGATGGTTTACTCGCAGCAATATTACACAAGAAAGTAATAAAATAGACAAAATTCCTGCACAAAGAAACAATGAAACTGTAAAGAAAACTGATGGTGTCCTGGGTAAAGAGTTCATAAGCTTTTACATAAATCAATTAACCTTCGGACAGCATACGATGTGACAGGCACATGCAAAATTGGGTCAATTTTGATTCATAGTAAAATTTCTTTTATATGTATTCCACATTAAATTTTTATAATAAATTTTAATTTGAGATATATATATATAAATATATATATATATGTATATATAATGTACATATACTATTCTTAAATATTTTTTAAATAAAATTCTTGATATTTTTGTACTATAATTTTTGTACGTATGATATATTTATGTCGATCATTACAAGAGTCTTATAAAACATTATCAAGATATGCATGGTGAGTGACCCAGCGTTTGTCAACGAAGGGTTAACTGGTAAAATAAATACTTTACAGAATAAATAGAGCAAACAATTAAAGCGAATTTTAGCTTTAATTAAATTATTTTATCTTAAGTAATATTATCAAAAACTATATTTTCAAACGTGGTAATAACTAGCATATTTTTTTTTATTATGTAATTATAAAAAAGATATACAAGAAGAGAAATTATTTTATTGAAAATATACTAATAAAAAATATACTAATATAATTTTTATATATATCTACTTATCATATATATTTTTATAGTTTATATATTTTAGGATCGCGTATGCATCGTGTGACTAATTTTGATAAGAGAATGCTGGTTTGGGTAAAACGGTATCCAAGTATAGCAGATGTTCCTAGGGATATTACGTATGTATTATATTTACATTTTTTTATTATTTGTATTTGTTTATTAAAAATACAAACATTTAAAATATAAGTTTAATTAAAATTATTTAATAACTCAAAATATAATTTTAACTAAATCTAAAACTATTTCTTTTTAGAGATTTTAACATATTGGCGATCACCAAGTTATAAGAAATCTAATAAATAATTTTTATAAAAAATTATTTTATTTGAAAATGCATTTATATTAATTTATTAGCTTTTTGTATAATTAATTTGTTTTATTATTTGATAAATAAATATTTTCTCTTGAATAGAGTGGACTGTTTACTTGCTGCAAGGAGTAAAGCACGAATTAAGGCCTGTAATTACATGATTGTTGGTACCCTAATTGGTTGTATAGGTTCTGTAATACTTGGAAAAAGACAAGCTGCAAAAGGAGAAACTTTAACCAAACAAAGAGAGGATTGGTTGAAAGAAACCTTAGCAAGGGAGAAAAATGAATAAATATGTAAATGTAAAACAATGTAGAAATAATTTAGAAATATATATACATATATATAATTTTTTTGAGAAACAAACAGATACAATAAATTAAACATATTAGCGATTATTATTATTATTTTGTTGTTATATATACACTATTTGAAAGTAATACTCATAATATTTTCCATATAGTAATGAACATTCAATTATTTAATTATTTACATCTGCAATAAATAATGTAGACGTTTTATGATATAGTGTTTTCTATTTAATAACGAGAGAGGCAAGCAAAATATACTACATTATACTACTCCACACGTATGTGCACGCACGCACACACACGTGCGCGCGCGCGTGTACGTACGCATTTGTTGTAAAATTATTTTAATATGGGTTTAAAAGATTAATTTTTTTATAGGATGACACAATTAGGAAGTTGCTGAAACTATTCGGCTATTATTTGGAAACACAAATGGTTAAAATTTTTAAAATCAGACTATTTTTTGAATATAAGAAATCCTTGCCAATTTTGTTAACGTATAATAGAAAAATTATATAAAGTAATTTAATAATTAAATTTTGTCTACAACCGGTTTGTTACTTTTTTAAACGTAAAATTTTATTATTAAATTTTTTATATTATTTTTGTATGCTAATAAATAAAAAATTGACAATTTTTTGTGTTCAAAACAATTTGATTTTTTCAAGTCTACCTTTTTGTTCTTAAGTAATAGTCAAATAGTTTCAGCAACTTTCTAATTGTCACAGGTATAATAAAGTTAAAACTCATCTCTTAAAAATGTTTTCTAACAGAACTCGCGTTTTGTTATTTACTATCAAAAACTATAATATACATTCGTATATAATTTACCTGTAGTACAATAACATATCTGATTTTTATTAGTGAGTACTTAAATTATTTGCAAAATAAATAACAATTTCTATGATTTGTGTATATCATATTTTTATTTATTCTTGCAGATGGTACAGTTGGAATTCTCGCTCATAAAAGAGAGAGAGAATTAGTATATATTGTATATCTTCATTACAAAATAACAATGATTCTGGAGATAAACAAATTATTGCTAATGTTTATTAATGTTTACAAAATTATTATGTACATAACTATATTGTAACAACTCATATAATATAGCAATTAGATAACCGATATACCAATATATTTTCAGTCTTATTTATTTGCTACTTCTATGTGTTCACATGTGATGGTTTATAAAATCCACGGCATCTTTCATAATAAATTTGTACTGTACGTTTTTTTATAACTTCCTCTATATTAAGCTCAGCTTTTAATAATCTCAATGTAGTTTGTTCATTTCTCAAATTTTTTATTAATGTTAGTCTTTCATCACCATTCTCTCTCAAATTTTTTAATTGTATTACTCTTTCCTTAGCGATGTTCAAACACTTCATGATTGCTTGTTCTCTTTGTGTATGCACGGATTTTATTTGTTGGAATAAATCTTTACATTGTGCATTAGGATCCACTTGGCCTTTGAAGGATTCAGTAGGAATTGTAGTATTCAACATGTAAATTATTTTGTCATCTAACAGTCGCATTTTTTTTAATGTATCCTGAAATACAATATGGTTTTCATATTTAGTAATTATGTATTTATATTTTTATTTTATATTACAAAATGATAAAATGTAGTATTGTGTATATATATTTGATATTATATTTGATATTCTTTTATATTTAATAATAACAGCAATATATATATATAGGCTCAGAGTACTAACAATTAAGTGGGAAAATTAGCAAATAAGAGCCAAAGCAATAAATATATAATAGTAATAAATGTGTATTTTTTCAAAATGTACGTTTTGGACAGTTTCTAAAATACACAATCATTACTAAAATATAATAATAAGTTCGCGCATTAATAGCCGCGCCTTGGCTCTTATTTGCCAGTTTTCCCATTGGCATATATATATTTTCATATACATTTGCACAGTTACAATTTTCTAATTTTATTTTCCTAATATATACAGAGTGGCCCACGTAAAGTGTTACAAGCTAATAACTCTAAAAATATTTGTCAAATCAAAAAATTGTTCATGAGAAAGCTTCATGTTTTTGAGGGGCCTTTCTAACTACGTAAACATATAATTGCCCCCGCTCCCCCTCTAAAGGGGGCGGAGGGTAACTTCAAAATTTTAAATGGAACCCCCCATTTTTTATTGCACATTCTTGTAGCTTATCTGGAGTACATAAAAGTATTACGGTAAGATTATCGAAAACTAAATATTTTACGAGATATTTTATTTTTTATATCAAAATATGTCAGATTAAGATATAAAATAACTCAAAAAGTACTTAATGAAAAAATACTTTATTATAGTGTTTTGAAAAGCTCTCCAGATAAGCTACAAGAATGTGCAATAAAAAATGGGGGGTTTTATTTAAAATTTTAAAGTTACCCTCCGCCCCCTTTAGAGGTGGAGTGGGGGCAATTTTATGTTTATGTAGCTAGAAAGGCCTCTCGAAAACATGAAACTTTCTCATGAACAATTTTTTGATTTGACAAATATTTTTAGAGTTATTAGCTTGTAACACTTTACGTGGGCCACCCTGTATATGACAATATGTCAACAAAAACTAAATAAAAATTGAGCACAACATGATATCATGCTTTAAATTGTCGGCAGAATATCGTCAGAAATCGAGCTCATCTGTAACCACAGTGTGATGGCAGAAATGCGGCAAAAATTTAGCATATAATTCAACGGCCGTCTCAAAAGATAACATCAAAAACAAAACCGCAGTAACATCAAAAACAGAAACGCAATATGGTCTGTTGTCATGAAATAATGACAGATACATATCAATATCATATACAATTTGTATATCGGATTCTATCTATAGTTCTTTCGTTTACCGCTGTACAACGTATCTATTTCAAGTTTCTTTTACGGACAAATATAAAGATTGCAAAGCGCGGCTAACAAAATTAAAAATGTATATCTATTTTTATTAGCTTAATTTTTGATACAATTCTAACAAAGGACTCAGAATATTAAATTGAAAGTTTGGAAACCGAGTAGATCAATAAAATTGTCCATTTATTGACTGCTTGAAACAAAATAAGAATTCAATTTCCATACAAATCTTGAAACTTATGAGTTATTAATAAATAAATTATTTATTTAAATTTATATATTTAATTATTTATAACTATGCCAATTATTTACATTACATAGAATGTACAATATAACCTGTTATACATTATATATATTATACTTACGATGGGAAAATTACAAGTAACTAACGATTTATCGTAAACATTTATGTAATAATATTTGTAACATTCAGTTTTTATTGCATCTATATTAGTAATTGTGCTTTGCAGACGTGCTTTATCTTTACCATGTTTTGGTTGTCACATTGTGATAGCAGCAGCAGACTATGCTTGACTTTTCCTGCGTTTCTGCTTTTAATAGTTGATGGGATAGATTGTGTTTTATTCTTGTCGCGTTTCTGCCGTCACATTGTAACACGACAGGCCATGTTTGATTTCTGCCGTCAATATCCGATATAGTAGACTTCGCTCGATATTTGCTACATATCTGCTGTCACGACGTAATAGCAAATAATACTCTATTTTTGGTCAATTTTCTTTGTTATATTATATTGGCAAGAGCTGTGCTGCCAGAAATTAAGTTTAACGAAGACGCAGTAAAATCTACTGCGAAGTCATGATTGAATTGGCATACTGTTGGCATACTGCTATCTATATATATATATGAGATATATTTTTTTCATAATAATGTAGATATTCTATTGTTAAATCAAAGTTACCTTTTTGTGTATTATACACAATATATAATTTTTTCTCACACAATATATAATAAATTTCTAAAATACCACCAACCGGCATTAATCATAAAAATCATTAATATTACTTTTTGATAACTTGAAACTATTAAATACGTGTATATTTGTTATATCCGTATAATACAGTATAGAAATACGCAAATATTACTTAAGCTCTATTTTCGGAAATACCTGAAATTCTAAAAAATCGCCACATTCCACGCTTGCGGCTGTCATTTTTAGGTTAAAAATGGTAGCAACTTTTAACTATAGATGTGTTCCGTTTGACACTATTTTCGCTTCAAATCTATTAAAGAAAAATTTTGGCTGCACTACTTGGCGTTTAAAAGCATTCTAGCAACACCATATTTGTCGTTGAAACAAAATGATGTCGTTAAAACATTATAGATTTCTCCTTCCACATTTTTTTCATTTTATTTCAAATACCTTTAGCATGGTGTTCCTTAGAACATATATAAATGGAAGGGGAATGCCTTTGTTTCCCGATAGAAAAACATGTCGGAAGGAAGTAAGAAAGAAAATCATAGTTGCCTCTCTCTTGTGAGTTACTTTGCTCAAAAGTGCGCATGCGCGGCCATGTGTGTGTACACAAAAGTATGTATACTACAGACACGATGCTTGTATGTGTAGTTACTCACAAGAGAGAGGCAACTACGATTTCTTTCTCACTTCATCGCAATCGCAGCCGCGAGCCGCTAGTGTGATTCGGGCTTTAAACGTGACCTTAAGGTACGTATCAAATTTATAAAAAAGGGTATTTTTAGGCCCTTTGCTCAGATAGCATTAAAAATAATCTAAAATGTTTTACAAATTAATAAATTACAAATAAATAATTAATTAAATAATTAATAAAAGACGTATCGTAAATAATATAAAAAGACTAATTTTATATCATTCCACGTAATCCGTTTCCGCGTATTCCGCTCCATGGGACATAAGGAAAATAGAAAAAGCGAAAGAAAGAAAACGGAATGGCTGTGATTGGTCGCGCTGATTCCGCGCGTTCCGTTCCGTTATGGAATTCCGCTCAATGGGACGTCGGCCTTAGGCCGGATTCACATCTTGGCAGAATGGGCAGTGAAAAGCAGCAGCAGTTTAGTAACTAACTAGCATTGTTAAGTGATTTTACAGAATTGCTGCGCTGCCCATGAAATAGATTTTCTGCAGTGTTTTAAATCGTTAATCTCAATTTCAATATTAATTGACATATAACTGAATGAGTAATTATTTTTATAATTATAGTTTCTACAAACTTACCTCTGGTGATTCCGTATTTTAGAATATATGTACATATATAACCAAAACACAGTTTTTACTGCTTTGCTGTTCAAGGCTGTGTTCCGATTCCCCACCCGGGTGCACCTAGACACCCAGAGAGCGTTCAGATTCTTCCCAAGTGCTCTCGCCGGACTCTCAAGTGAGACGTTCAAATTGT